CAAATTTACCAACACAAATTCAAAGAGAGTGTATTATAGTTTGGGCATCTTGAAAAATGTAACCTTGATTTATAAAGCACATTATTTGTGAGCCATTTCAATCTTCTCTTGTGTTTTTCTATTGTACTAATTAAAAGAAAAATTGCCAAGTCTGATGTACAACCAACAACAAATGAATCCAGATATTGTTATATGTATATGCTTCTTTGTAGCTTGCACAAAAGGCATTACTTTTTTTTTTTTACAGTAGGCAAGCAGAAGCAAGCCTTGGAGGTTTGAGTAACTGAAAGTGGATGGTAAATTAACATGTATATAAGGTTACCTATAGCATCTCCGACAATAGAAGTCATCATCACAGCCATGACATCTTAGAACAGCATTCCCATTGCAGATACAACACCATGGCAACTCGTCATCATCACTGTTTGCTTCATAATCGTGGCTAAAAATGCTGCTTGGCATAGCTGTGGAATCACTATCTTTGGTCTGTCAAGATGTGAGAAAAAAGAAAAGAAATGAATTTTTAACAGAAGTGGGTCACAAAAAATGGCAGCTTATTGTCATCATTGTTTGCTTCACAACCCTGGCTGAAAATGTTGCTGGGTGCGGTTGAGGGATAAGTGGCAGAGGTCTAGCAGGATCATATACAAAACAAGAATGTAATTCTACCAAAAATGGGTTGCCAAAAATGGCCAAGGAAGAGGTCTGCCTTCAAAAGTAAGACTTGCTGACCAGTCAAATGCTAAATCTACCCTTTATGTGAATTTATTGAACATAGCTAAAAAGATTGCATTTTAATTGCCAAATACTGTATAACTAAAGAAGAGGCCACTTGTTAAATGTTATTTCTATATCTACTATAACTTGTCAGTGGAGGTGTAAGTGGAAAAGTCAGGATAAAAATTTGCGTGAAGAATAAGACAACTGTTCAAAGTCTTGTTTAAGCAAAGTTGATAACATGTTTATTTCATTGAAAATTTTACTTTTTATTACAACTAGTAAGAAAAAAACAATTGAAGGGAGGTAAATGAAAAGACAACTAACAAATTACCTTCAATTGTCCTGTCTTTTTTCCTGATTTACTTGATTTGCTGGCAGAGGAATCACCTAATTTGCAACCAAATTGGTTGATAAGACAAAGAGAGAGTTTTGCTCTATCACACTCCTACTGTAAAAGTATTTTGTTAAACTACACCACAAGTTAAAATTTTGATTTATTTTAAGAGAGTAGGCAGCTGTTTACAAGCTTTTGACAGGAAATGCATAGACAGTAGTGCATTGAAAAAACTGAATCAGGCTTGGTGTTTGAGCCAGCCATGACAACCAGTACCTATGACACTTTTGTTGCATGAGGCTTCTGTATACAGAGGTCATGGAACATTTTGAAGGTAAAGGGGAGTGGGGGTGGGGGCAAGATTGGAGTACTAAATCTACTGCAGGACAATGCATAGAATTTACTGGTTCAGAAGTGATGATGAGTTATTTAGTGTCAACAGTGTAAATTGGAACACTTACCAAAATCAACGTTTTCCATTTTTAAATCCAGAGCTACTTCACCAAGTATCTGTCGACCAATACATCAAAAGACCCTTCGTTTTGTAAAAACATCTTAATGAATTTCTCTATGTTTTGCTTTTCCTTTCTTTCTCTTTTTTTTGGGGGGGTGGGGAGGGGTGTCTATGGCAGGCTGATGAGATTGAATGCATGATCTTCATGATCAGCTGAGTAATCTTGTCCACTACAGATAACCTTTCAGCACTTGTCAAGTTTTCTTAAGGTTATTTCCCACCTTCAGATGCCAAAAAAATCATTTTTTCTTTTATTTGACTAAATTGAAGTCAAACACTTTACTTAACGTTTCTGAAAAGAACAAAAAAATTAAAAATATGCAAAAGCACCAAGTTATTTAGAAAAACATATTTTCAAATAAAAGTTAATATATCAGGAAGGTGTCATAATCTTGTACCCGGGTGAGCCCCCAAGGAAAATTTTCTACCATTGTTTCTAAATGGTGGAGAGGGGCAAATTGAGAGTTATAAGTGAATACAACATGGGCACCACACTCAGGACACAATGTCAAGACACTCTGGTACTCAGTTAAAAATAAAAAAAGATCCCCAAAGCAACCCTCTACTGCACAGGAAGAAAATGTTGTGCTTTCCAACCAAACTTTCACACACCATAATACTGCACACGCAATATTATACTGCAAAAAACCAACCTGTTTCAGGTATTGTTGGCTTGCTGTTTCATCATCTTCATCACTATCAAATGTATTTGATTTAGGTTGATTTGTCAGACCTGGTAAGTACAAAACGATCATTATTAATAAATTCCTATTTTTTTAATACCAGGTTACCTGCTATGAATGTCTCTTAATTACTAATGGTACTTTACATCAGGTTAAAATGAGGTTTAATCAGAAAGGTCACCTACAGCTGTTGATAAGATTTTAAAAGAGTTCTACCAAACAAGAAAGAGCTATGCACATCCCAATTAAGAATCTTTTCCAAAATCACTTACAGGTAACCTGGGACTCCCATGAGTGACCAAGACAGTGTTTCTCCTTACAATAGCAAAACAATATCAAGCAGAGTAAAAATAGGAGACAGAAAAATACAAATTAGGGGATTATTAGTTGATCTGATAACAAGTTCTCCCAAGGATTGTATGGGAGGCAGTCGGGAGAATTACTAAAGAGATCTTTGGAGTGAAAGGGTTAACTGAGTTGCATGACTACATTGCAATTTATTGCACAACAGAGTTACCATGATTGTGAAGAGGTTCCCCATCACTCAGCTGAATTTCAAAATATTGTTTGCAAAAAAATACCTCCCAGTATTTTGAAATGAAAGATTAGTTAGATTTCTTGTAGAGGCATCAATCATGTCTGGGATTGCCTGGAGATTTCAAAGGACACTCTGAAAATTTAACTCTGACATAAAATCCTCTCCACTGCTAACTACCCTCTACAATTAGAGGTGCAAGGAACATTTTTTCATTTGGTATCAGTTAGATACTGGTCAGCAGCTGTGAGCTGAAGTAAGATCAAAATTTTTACAAAAGATTGAACAAACATTTTTAAGGCCTTTTGCTTGCTGGTGACTAGCACTTCAACTTCTGGTTACCAACACTCAATTTCTTGTTGCATTCTTGGTGACCAGCTGGTTGAAAGACCAGCTGGTATCAATTTTCGACCCTGACTCTAAAGCTGTTATCCTTTTATACAATTACACTCCAGCCAAGTAACAGTACACTCACTTGGATCAATGCCTTTCAGCTTGGCAAGTCTCTCTTCAATTTCCTTATCAGTGATACTACTTGTGGCTGTTGGATCCTCCTCAGCAAGTTTGTTTTCTTCCATCATTTGTTTCATCAAGTCATTCACCTCCTCTACTTCAGATTTTTTCGGCTGAAGGGTATTGATCTGTTGAACAAGGAAGTAATTACTTGAAAGATACTTACAAAAAAAATAAACTATCGCCGCTGAAAAAAGTCAAAAGTTAGAGTTCACTTAACTCTAAGAGTAATGATCATTTTATTTCTCTTTACAGTAAAAACAAACTATTTGAAAGCTAAAATTGTGGTCAGTGTCATGATATCAGAACAAAATTTCAAATGACAAAGAGGAAAACTAATACATGTATATGATTTCTAGAGCAAACATCTGTTTTACATCTTAAAACAAGAGGCTCATGAATATTTTGTGGCTCCCTGAACCACTGTTGTTATTACCGAAACTAATAATTTTTTTCAAAAGAACTGATAACATTGAGATTTTGTCTAAACGTTATTTACATTTGAGTTCTGCATTGATGTTGCCTTTCTTCCAGTGAGGTTCTCAAACCTTTCTCCTAACAGTTGATCTGTTATTTGTGATACTGAAGAATCATCTGTGAACAGAATTAAGAAAAGTTCAGAATTGATTGTAATGGAAATGTGATAAAATGATGACTTCTTACCAACTATGCAGGGAGGCTATATTAGTAAATATTGGAGGTTCATACAAAAACAAACAAGGAGCAATATTCCCCAGTGCTGCAAAATATGGACCAAGCAAGAACCAATTAAAATGCTGCGATCATTACCTCAGGACTACCTTGCCATAAAATAATATTGCACATTTCAACACCTTTATCTTTAGAGGAATCATTTGTTCTAAGCTCTGCCAGCCTCTGACGGATTGCCTCATCAGGATCCATTGAAGAATTTTTGTGTTCTGAAGATTCAGCTGTAGCAATGACTGTTTTCCTTATTCCATTTTGCAAATGACCTTTCTGAAAATATTCAGAAAATTATAATTAGCTCCATTCTTTTTAATGCCATCCTCTCCAAAAAATGCAAAATTTTTACACAACTTCTCAAACATAACTGTCTTAAGGACCATATTAATAATGAGACCAGACTGAAATTTACCTCACAGCTGTTTAAAACAGGTCTGTGCAAAGGGGTGTTCTTGTTTAGGTCATTCAAATCATTTCTGTCTTTAATTTGAGTTTGTTTTTGTGTATCTCTGTAACGGACAAAAGGCAAAACAATTTTAAAAAATTTGGTCTGGAGCGTGAGCCCAAGATTTTTTCTTATAAAGGTGAGCTACAGCAGACTGCACACTCCCATACTGTAATTAGTTGGGGCACTCCACCAGCACAATGCCTACCTCCCCCTTCCAATGTTGTTAATTGCCAGTGTGTCTATGTCATCTTACAGACCAACATTGAGAGGGGCTGGAGAGGCAGTAATGCTTTCTAAAAAAATGTTGCTAGGAGTATAGAAGTAAGTAGTCCAGTGGTAAGTGCGCCGGACTCTGAGCCAGATGGCCCGGGTTCAAGTCCTGGCTGGGGCTTGACGTTGTGTCCTTAAGCAAGACGCTTCACTCACATTGCTTTGTCTTCTTGGATAGGACGTATAGCTGGAGGTCCCGTCTCCTACACCTATCAATTAGTTAATTTCGGCAGGGGAAGTTAAAGAACCCACACCATGAGGTTACTGTTACGTGGTCTCGCCTGGTTACTGGGAATGGGGGGAGGGGGCATCTATAAAATTTCTTCTTTATTTATTGTAAACTGACGCCGGGTATCTGGAAAAGTCCCCCACACAGTGTTGTAAAGTGCATTAGAGCATTTACATGGAAATGAGCTATAGAAATTGATCTATATTACTATTATCATATTATAGACCCTTATTTGCGACATGGCAATTATCTAACATAGGTGCCCATTTTCTTAGTTTATCCTGGAATCTTCTGGACATAAAACCAGTTTCCTTTGAGTTTTGGCACTGGAGAAAAGATTGTTGCTCTCTGCTTATGACGATGTATACCTAAACTACGAGATATGACCGCAGAAGCGCAACAGCTTGGTGGATTAAGTTGCAGTCAACTAACCTCGTAAGATTTCTGTAGCATTGATCACAAACTTTCATTTTCTTTGACCCATGTTGTGGTAAAATAATTGACTGAGAAGTGCATCCAGAGCAGAAAAGTCTTCCACAATTCTTACATCCATGCTGAGGTTACACAAGACAGTAATAATCAGAAATTAATGAAAGACAAATTAATGAAGCGCGCTTTGCAACAATAATTTATCTTGATATCAATCAAATTGTCCACAAAAGTGGGGAGCCGAATTTGAGAGACGAACGCATAACTCTAGACTCATTGTACAATAAAGCTGGATCTTATGTAACAGTACGCCAACAAAAATATAGTGCAACGTTAACTTTTCTTAGTGTCACTTTAAAAGACAGCTAACAGAGAATATTCAGTTTTTGTAAGCCAGATTGAGGCGACCCTTCCTCCAAAAACTCGCGGAATATATCATGAAAAATAAAGTGTCAAAGAATTTTCATTCAAAGGAAAAATTTGAACTAACCTCTCGTCTGAAGAAGCCAAATCCTTGCCCACAAGCAAAACATTGTAAACCCGCCATAATTGTTTTTATTTTATCATGAGTCTGACTTAGCAGCGGTTGTATCAGGAATATACTTGGTCGTGTAAGACACAGAATGTCTCTTTAGCCAGTCATGTCACAACATGGCGGAAGATCGTCCCATGGTCATGGAAAACGAGGAAAACAAGATCCTGAGAAGGGAAATGTGGAATTAGGAGAAGATGAAGAAGAAGAAGAAGATCCCTTTGATACTAGGATAAAAAAATCAGGATGTTCAGACCTTCACTATGCTCTGATGGTGGGTAAATAATGTTCACCCAAGGGGCGTAAAGAACCTGCTACTCGCGAGGAAACAATTCACAGATTTTACACCGTGGTAAACCCATAAATTTGACACAAATTAGTTTCGAGGTCGATCGAAAATGGGGAGCGGGAAAACAAGATTTTGGATAGGGGAGGGGGTTAACCCTGGTGATTTTCTCTCGTCTGCACTGACCGAAAGGCAGGAACAATCCATGTCCAAATAAGCTTAATTGTGTTGTCTAAAAAGAAACCTGTAACTTCACGTATGAGCTTCTACATTCCTATGATTTCTGTTAAGGGTTAATGATCTTAGCGGCTGGATGGTACGTTGAAAAAGTGCTGAGCTTAGAGCCCTGGGTTAGCTAGAAGCAGAGAGAGACCTTTTTTTTTGTCTGTGTTATTTTATTTCTTAAAGGATTGTATGGATGTAAATAAAGACTGGAGAAAGTGCCAAGATCACGTTAAAGCTTTCAAGGCATGCATTGATAAACAGAACAAACAGAAAAAGCCCTAGTTGGTGAAAAGGGATGAGCTGACAACCGATCCAAACTCTAAAAACCTGTAAGCAATGACTGTGACTCTTAAGAGGTTACAATGAAGAAGAATGTGTGAAAATGTTGCAGCCAAGAAGGGACTCATTGGAACACTTGCCACTTTGTTAGAGAAAATGCTCTCTTGCTTCTACAGTAAAACTGCCATAGATTGCATTTCTTTGAGAATGATGCAATTGTCTGGTAAAAGTTAGAGAGAAAGTAATTGTGCTGTAAATGGTGCAATTGTCCACAAAAATTCTTGATGGCAGGTCAACAATCTCTCGGTTTTTCCTTTTTATGGGTAGAATTGCTGTCCTATTCAAGAAGAGTCAACAGATGTATCACAGAAATTAAAAATTTGAAAGAAGATACACCTGTTTCCATGGGCCAGTTATTAAACAAAGTTTAGCTATTGTTTAACAAAACTGCATTGTTAACTATCTTCAGTTTAGCTGAACCCTTGTCATCTGAACATTTGTTTTTTTGAACAGTGGAAAGAGAGTCAAAAGCTAACAGTGGATGGACTTTTATTTAAATCCACCCTCTTACAGATAATATCTAAGGCATACTATGTGCATTAAACTGCAGTTTGGGTTAGACTTCCTTTACATAAGCAGCCCCATGTGCACACGAGACAACCTTTTTGGTGGTATGAAAAATTTAAAAAGTTGCCAGGTGGAGGTGTTAGATTTGTGGAGGAATTTTTACTCTCATTGAAAGGGTGGGTCTAGATTATTGAGAAGATTCTCTGCATTATTTAGATAAATGCACTGAAGGACACACTTAACTACACTTTGCTAATAAGCTATGCTCACGAAAATAAAAGTACCGGTAACATGATGCAGCCACTTTTTAACTCTGAGCCCTAAGAGTGAGCAACATCAGCTTTCTCCTCGCAATGTCAGCCCTGAATTGAACATTAAGGTCATGAAAATAAAGGAATGATCACCGTCTAAAGAAGTTCTTGATTGTTAAACAAATTCTCCTTGTCAGTACCTTAGGAAATGTACAGAGAACAGTATGGAGAATATGCATGCTGATACTAGCTTGTAAAGGGTTCATCATCACTGCTAACAAACATAGAAAAACATTTTTTATTAGGTGCACTAAGCCGGACTATTGACACTTTGCTCCTCACAAAATATCTAAACATCACAAGCATCTAGACTTTGTGGTCTACTTCTACAAACACAGCAGTCAAACATCTGCGCATGTGCAAACGTTGAAATAATTAGAAGCTTTCGGGCTGTCAGAACTAAGTTGTTTTACAAAAGTTACATGGCACCGTACAAGCCAGTTAGTCACAGTGATTTAGAAGCACCTAACGTTTTTGGTAAAGCTCAAAACAGAATGATGAATAAACAGGATACCCGTACTTAATAAGCTTTGTTTTCGAGAAGTCTCGAATTTTCCTTTCCCTTACTTTGTTTCCTTTTACACATTTCTATGAACGTTTCAATTTTCTTCGCTTATTTTGCGATACAACAGTTTTTGTGCTTTCCCCAGAAATTTTTGCGCGGGAATTTGGTGTGTGTGCGGCCAAAATTGATCCCTGTGCATGCCCTTCGTTTGACCACTGCGTTACAGCTATCTTTCTATGCGCACCTCTCACATGATGATACATGCAGCTACAGAAGGCCTGTACAAAGACTATCGAAAAAATGCTTATTACTGAACAAAGATGTATCCCATCACTTTGATATTTTTATCTCCGTTGTCTGCACCATTGGCTGCCCTATTTCCACACGTATAGGAGCCCGCGCCTGTGCAACCAAAACCAATTCTAGAATCACAGGTTCCACAGCTTTGTTCGTTGTTGGCGATCAAACCGATTCTCGCCTTCGAATTGGTTGAATTCGGGTGTACATTGAACCCTTCGGCATAACAGTAGTTTTGCAAAGAGGCCTCTGAACCAATCAGCGACTTCCATGAGTCGCGACCCAATGAAGTGCTACGGTATTGCCCATCCGCTATCAAAGAATACAGAGAATCAGCCGGCTCATTGATCAAGACGAAGTTAGTTTCATCACCGTTCTTCATACCGAGGCATATCGACTTGAAACTTGTATTCCAGTAAGTTGGAAGCTTGGTTTCCTGTTCGTCAAATCCTGTCATCCCCGCAGAAGCGTCAAACTCCACCATGTTACCCCAGAGATTGGAATGATATTGGAAAGTGTCCTGTAAAATAATGACCTCATCAGTTTCCAGAAGTTTACTGTAATGGGGCTTTGGAGTAAAAAAAAAAAAAGAATATCACGAGTTTGGCCTCAGTACAAGTGTAATCCAGTGTGCAGGAGTCAACTAATTGGTTTAATTAAATGATTAATTAATTAATTGGTTCACACGACATTTCCTGATCATCTGCTTGGCTACTAAGCTGCAAGGATCGCTATCCGGGATGAGGAGGCTGAACTCTTTGACCCCTTAGGGTGACTATCATCTAATTTCTCCTTACAATATCACCCCTGAATCACACATTAAGGTCAGGAGAATAGAGAAAATGATCGTCGATCAAAGGAGCTTTTGATAGTCAAACAAGGTCTCCTTGTTAGCACCTCAAGAAATGTATGAAGACTAGTATGGAAAATATACACACTGATCTTAGGGTGTAAATGGTTGAACAGTTGGTGACTGCTAAGCTTTTTTCTGACAATAGCAGACTTCATAAGGAAGATTAGATCTTATTTTGTAGTTCCCCCCACATTACTTAATCAAACATCTAACGTTCTAAAAAATATTACGTAAGTGTAACACCCCAGGTAAACAATGAGAGTACTTTCTACATGCCTCCTAACATGTTTAGAGGTCGAAAATAGGCACATTATTTAAACTTTGACTATAAACAATCTTTTGAGTCTTCCTTCTGAAAACTACCCGATGAAGTATGCTTTTGTCAGATGTAACGCACATGAGATTAAAGGAAATTTTTAGTTTGCAGAGCGTTGCAAAGTCTTGAAAGTCATAGTTTCCAAACTCTCCAAGACTCTGCTAATCCCACATTCATCAAGATGTTCTTTTTTGGGCAGGAAAGGCTGCATAGGTACTTAGTTAACCAGCTACATCGTGTTAAAGTGTTGAAAGCACTTTGCAGTTGTGGGTTGAACGTAAAATGATCGGAAACTGTTGGTTTTGCTTTACATTGCTTTGTGATTGGTCCAGAAAGCTTGCACCACTCTCTCTCAACCAATCAGATTCAAAACTAAAACCAATCGCGACTTGGACGCCTGCGTTTTCCCGCGCTTCGGGCAGTTTGTTTATGTTTACTTTGAGTTCTCATTGGCTCCTTAAAGGTATTTTTCTTTCTTTTGATTGGCCGATGTGATTACTTTGCTTTTAGTTTTAGAATACTCAGTCCCAATCCCATTTATTCAATTGACTTATGTTCACCTTGGAACCATCCACCTTCATAACCATAGTCCAACCACCGCCTCCACATGCACCAAGCGTAGTCATCTGACAGTAAACTGGCAGAGTGTGTGATCCAAGCTTCAAAGTGTAGGCTTTGTCACTGACAGCACTACAGAAAGGAAAAAAACCCGTACTTTGAAAGGTTAATAAA